AATAATAATATGATCATGCCTTGATTTTTAGTTATTAAATTAGGACAGTAAGGTCTTACTTTGCTTAGACAAAAGTCTTGTCACTTAACAGAAATAATGTGAAGTATAGAATATAAAGACATGGTGCAGTGGAAACATAATTAATATTGTGTATGACTCCCATGAGCTTGGACGACTGCATCTATAAATCTCTGCAATGATTTAAATAACATTAATAAATTCATCTGGAATGGCAAAGAAAGCGTTCTTGCAGGACTCCATGGTTCATCAAGATTCTTTAGATTCATCTTCAATGCCTCCTCCTTCATCTTACCCCAGACATGGTCAATAATGTGTATGTCTGGTAACTGGGCTGGCCAATCCTGGAGCACCTTGACCTTCTTAGCTTTCACTTTGATGTGGAGGCTGAAGTATGAGAAGAAGTGCAATTCTGTGGTTTGTAATGTAATAGGCAGCACAAATGTCCTGATACCTTGGGCTGTTGATGTTGCCATTCACTCATGCAGATCTTTCGCACACCTCCATACTCAATGTAACCCCAAATCATGATTTTTCTTTCACCAAACTTGACTGATTTCTATGAGATCCTTGGGTCCATATGGGTTTCAATAGGTCTTCTGCAGTATTTGTGATGATTGGTATGCAGTTCAACAGATGATTTATCAAAAAAATCTACCTTCTGCCACTTTTCCAAATGATGAACTAAAAGTCAAGTTATTATTTGTTGCTCTTACAACTGGGATCGACGATAAGACTTTTGTCAGGTAGTGTACAGATAAAAAATGATAACATCCTGGTTCGGACTGGGATGAGGGTGAGCACTGTTCCTCTATGTTATAAAGCACTGGCAGATTGATTTACTGTTGTCTTTCTCCATCATTAGCACTTCATTCAGAAACAACTGCATCCCACAGTTCACACGCTTTAATCTCTGCCATAAAAAACACACAGGCGACTCCTTGCATGAGCCGCAGGTCCGTCCCAGCTCTGGAGAAAGCTGATTCTAGCATTCAGAAATGTCAGGTTTTTTTAAAAAAGGTCCCTTAATGGTAGAAGTCTTCAGTAAAGTTTATTAGTATTTGACTTTGCCAGGAACTTGAACATTCACGCCGCTATAGTCCACCATGTACATGGGCCATTGCTGAAAATGCAAGGGGACAAACATTTAACAACAGTGCAGTTAACAGAATTAACACATTTAATAGTGTTCAAGGTCTAACTAAGCAAAATGCATCTGCTTGGTCCTTAAAAGTTTGATAAAGATATTAAATGGGGGGTGGGGGTATGATAAAGATGCCATTGACAACCATTGATTTCAATAGTATTTTTGGTCTTACTATAAAAGTCAGCGGCTGAATATTTTGTGTTCAACAGAAGACATTAATAAAAGTTAAAAAGCACTTGGAAATTAATAAATGATGAGGAAATTGTCATTTTGGGTGAACTAAGATAAACAAAATCTACATTATAAGATTAAACCGTGCTAAAAATGGCTTTTAAGACAAATGCTGTGTTCACACCAGATCAGGCACTCGCTAATAACTCGCGCTCATCACGAGTAAATAGACTCACGAGTCAAATTCACTTCACAATAGATGCGGATTCATTCTTTGGACAGGGCTTCTGTCTGCCTGGTGACTTTTGAGTTTTGTTGCTAAATGGCTAACATGGATTTTATTTAGATAGTAGCTTTGCTGACAACACAGCGCATATTCGTTCGGCGCCATGTCTAACAGGTCAATTTTGAGGTGCATCCAGCTCTGTGAGTTCATTAACTCTTCCAGAAACTATACCTGGATGATGGAAGCTTTCAGCGGTTCAGACTGAGCCGAGCCCTGTTTGATGAACTGTTGTCTGGTGTCTGCAAGAGGATTTCCCCTCGGGACACCAACAACAGGCACTACGTCATATTCACTCCCTACAAGAGAAAGCTCCTGCTTAACGCGGTGCGTTGTCCACTGAAGTTCAAATTTTTCAACTTGAGCGATCGCCACGAATCGCATAATTTACGCCGCCTCATTCGCGTGAATCGCACTGCAGGCTGTCTATTCACATCTTTGCATTGATTTAACAAGTAAATCACTAGCAATTGACACTTCATCTGCGTCTGGTTTAAAACGCAGCATTAGGCCATGTCCACATGTACAGTACAAAGTGCAAACCCAATAAATGCATTGTCAATGGCATGCCGAATTAACAGAGGACAATACAGCTTTAATACTGGGATAATAACAAACGCAAACCTAAATAGTAAAAGTTGCATACAAGGTCAATGTAAATGTGCAACCAGACCATTGTGCTGCATGAATGATGTAGAATGTGCGACGCATTTGCCGTAAACTCATGGAATTCACCTCAACATTTGCTTTTACATTTAGCAGAAGCTTTTGTCCACACTGACTTAAAATTGAGGAGGCATTCAGCGATTCAACAAGAAGAGGCAACACACACAAGAAGTGCTAATGAATCAAAGTAAGTGCTAGAGTTGGGCGGGGGTGTTTAGAGAGAGAGAAAATAGAGTTTCTACAGGTAGTTTTACAGCACAAGTTCAAATAATTCAACTCAAGTTGAAAATATGCGTAAGGTGAAAAACATCCTATGAGTAAACTAGAGCAAGTGAAGTGGTACTCTGTGTTTGGTGTATACCCAATAAAACCACGTTGACCAATCAGGAAGGAAAAAATTATGCAAAATTTGTCAAAAGTTTTTTTTTGTGGCTCTGATAGGTTCTGAAAATTTCACTCTGGCCATCAGTTTTAGTTTTTTTATACTGTGTTTTTGTTAGAGTATCTGGGATTTTATAGACAAAGACGAGTGTTTCTACAGCTAGTTTGTTAATAGCCCCTTTCACACAGTGATACCGGTAAATATCCGGAAAATTTCCGGAACTACTTTACCGGTATATTCAAAAAAACGCTGTTCACACAGGCGAGGACGTTACGGAATTTTTCCGGAAAAGAGCATTCACACATTCATCGCAAAATGTCGGTAAATTCTGACATCATTAACCAGAAATGACCTCTAAACGGCTGCGCTTGTGTTTGTAAACATTTGACTACATTACAAACTCTTCGGATTGATCAGTATTGAGTACAACTCTAATGAAAACATAGGGAAACACTTTGATATGTGATATATTTGATATATACGCAAAGCTTGAAGGTAAACAAACAACGGATTATCATAAACATTTTATCGATAATTATTTACACAGCATTAAGAAGGAACATAGAAACATTATCTGACTAACATCTAGCAGCTAAAGGTGTCTGGAAAAAATATTCAAAGGCTTTTATTCTCATAAACCGCGCGCAAGTGAATGCGTCTGACTGTTGTGATTGGCTAAAGCAGGTGTCTCACGTCAGCCCGTTCTAGACGTGGACGCGCTTATTACGGCAATCTTCCTTCTGCATTCACACAGCGCAGCATTCCGGCAAATTACCGGTAATGTTACAACTTCTCTTCTCGGAAAATAGCCAGAACGAATTTACCGGTATTAATTGCCTGTAATTTTCCGGAAAGGTCTGTATGTGTGAAAGGGGCTAATGAGTTTTACAGCACAAGGGGGGAGGGGGGGTTTAGAGGGTTACAGTGTTTGTACAGGTAGTTTATCAATGCGTTTTACAGCGCAAGTTTAAACATTTCAACTGAAGCTCAAAGTATGTGTGAAGTGAAAAACATCCCGTGAGTAAACTAGAGCAAGTGAAGTGGGGCTCTGTGTTTAGTGTGAAACCAGTATTAGAATAAAGCCATGTTGGCCAATCAAGAAGGAGACGATGCAAAATTTGGCTATAGTTTTTTGTGACTCTGGTAGGTTCTGAAAATTTCACTCTGGCCATCAGTTTCAGTTTCCTAATACTGCGTTTTTGTTAGGAGGGGGAGTGTTTGGGGTTTTTTTAGAGAGAGAGAGAGAGAGAGAGAGAGAGAGAGAGACGAGTGTTTCTACAGGTAGATTGTTAATGCGTTTTACAGCGCAAGTTCAAATAATTCAACTCAAGCTGAAAATATGCCTAAGGTGAAAAACATCCCATGAGTAAACTAGAGTAAGTGAAGTGGTGCTCTGTGTTTGGTGTAAACCCAGTATAAGAATAAAGCCATGTTGGCCAATCAGGAACGAGACAATGATGCAAAATGTGTCAAAAGTTTTTTGTTGGCTGTGGAAGTTTCTGAAAATTTCACTCTGGTCGGCGTTTACAGAAAGCTTTAGTTTCAGTTACCTAATACTGTGTTTTTGTTTGGAGGGGATAGGCATGGGCCGGTATGAGATTCTGACGGTATGATAACCTTTCACAGTATCACGGTATTGTGTTCACTGCTCTAAAAATATTCTCTTTAAATGTCTGGGTAAAAAACAAACACTTTTTTCCCACTTGAAAACGATATATTCTGTTTTTTGTAAGATTTATGATATTCTGGAACTTCTGCTGTCTTCATGTGTTTCAAAAACAGAGATTTCTTTACAATTTAAAACAGTATCTTTGGATATCTTTTCTGCTGGAGGTACTGTTGTCCTAAAAAATAAAAATGTAAATAAAAAATCATACTCATACCTTTGGAACGGTATTACAGGATTTTTTTGCAGCTTTAAAACCTTGACTTTTCCAAACCGCTTTACACCTTGATAACAGTTATTGTCCCATGTCTAGGAGGGGAGTGTTTGGTTTCTTTAGATAGAGAAGAGTGTTTCTACAGGTAGTTTGTCAATGTGTTTGCATTTAAAGTGCAAGTTGAAATAATTCAACTCAATCTGAAAGTCTGTGCGAAGTAAAAAACATCCTGTGAGTAAATTAGAGCAAGTGAAGTAGTGCTCTGTGTTTGGTGTGAACCCAGTATTAGAATAAAGCCATGTTGGCCAAGTAGGAAGGAGAAAATGAAGCAAAATTTGTTAAAAGATTTTTGTGGCTCTGGTAGTTTCTGAAAATTTCACTCTGGCCGTCAGTTTCAGTTTCCTAATACTGCGTTTTAGTTAGGAGGAGGGAGAGTTTGTTTGTTTGTTTTTAGAGAGAGAGAAAAGGGTTTCTACAGGTAGTTTGTCAATGTATTTTACAGCACGAGTAGATCCTGGAAAAGATTTTTGTGGCTGTAGTGGTTTCTGAAAATCTTCAATTTGGAGTTTTCAGAAAGTTTTAGTTTCAATCAATTAATATTGCGTTTTTGATAATATCCATGTTTGTGTGGATTAGTTCATTCGTTTTTGAAAAACACTCTTGTGTAATGTGTTGTCATACCATGACAGGTATCTGATTGGTTGACAGCGCTGAGTCTCCTGCAGTGGGCATGGATGTCTGACTGGACTCAAGTACACGTTTGCGCTTGCGTCGATTCGTTGACACTTCTTTACCTTCTGCAAAAGAGCACATTTGTATTTGTAAACATTCTTGTTCTATTCAAAAGTTAAATAACTGATGGCAGAATATATATATTTTTTACCTTTATTACAAGACTGAGTACACAACTCTGTAAAAGGCCTAAACAAAGACAAAATGAAAGTAATCAAACAATACTTGTATGTAAAAGAGCATCTCTGATCACAGTAAGCGCTGTTTATCCAACATAATCACCATAATGATATTCAACACTCACTGTAGGGGGGTTTTGATATTGAAAGTAATTTCATCTTGGGCCTGCAGGACTTTTTCCAACCGAACGATGTCATAAGTATTAGGATTCCTGAAGGGAATATCATCTGGAAGTCCACACACTTCCAGTGAGCCTGGATTGGCTCGAATTAATTTATATGGAACAATGACTGAGCGATCCAGACCCAAAGCCTCACCTGAGAACAAGACATTCACGAATGAGTTTTTCAAATGATTTGAATATGTATATGAATTATTTACTAGTAATTTACATACCGTATTTCTTATTGAAGAGCTCTTTAACTTGTTCTCTTAATATCACTTTCTCTCCCATTCGATTGACCTCGTCTTCTTCTGTTGGAAAGTGATCAAATATTTGACAGGTTTACCGACAGATTCAGCAAACAACTGTTTATGCTCATTGCGGTCAGATAGCTAGAGGCTGATTTATTTTCATAAAGGAAATCCCTTGAAGATCTTTAATGTATATTAGACTCATTCATTCATTTTCCTTTGGCTTAGTCCCTTATTTATTAGAGGTCGCCACAGCGGAATGATCCGGCAACTATTCCAGCATATGTTTAACACAGCGGATGCCCTTCCAGTGCTGGGAAACATCCATACACACATACACTCACACTGCGGCCAATTTTGATTTATTCAATTTCCTTATACGGCATGTGCTTGGAATGTGTGTGAAACAGGAGCACCCAGAGGAAACCCACGCGAACACGGGGAGAACATGCAAACTCCACACAGAAATGCCAACTGACCCAGTTGGGACACGAACCAGCTGTGGGGCGACAGTGCTAACCACAGAGCCACCATGCCACCCTATATTGGACTCCTGTTAAATAATTTTTTGTAACATACAATTGGAATATTATAAGACCAAAAATTACATTCCAATTTACCAAAAATACTAATAATTTACTATAAATAATAATCAGTTTTCATAAAAATAAAAAGCAACACAAATAATAAGGCATTTCTTAAACATCAAATTAAAATTATTTTTGAAGGATTATGTGACATTAATGTCTGGATTAAAAATGCAAAACAAAATTCGTCCACCCCATAATAGTAATAAACACATTTTGTAAATATATTAAAATAGAAAAAATATTTTAAATGGTAACAAAATTCAAAGAAGTACTGCTTTTTACTGCATTGATTAAATGAATGCAACTTTTGCAATTAAAGATTTTTAATTCTGCACATTTATATAAAAGTATTTTTCCATAAAAATAATATAATAAAATAAGCTATAATAAAATAAGCTGTAATATAATATAATATAATAAACTATAATATAATATAATATAATATAATATAATAAACTATAATATAATATAATAAAATATAATATAATAAAAAAATAATAAACTATAATATAGTATAAACTATAATATAATAAAATATAATAAAATATAATATAATATAATAAAATTAAGTATAATAAACTATAATATAATATAATAAACTATAATATAATAAAATACACTATAATATAATATAATATAATTAAATATAATAAAATAAACTGTAATATAATAAACTATAATTTAATATAATAAACTAAACTGTAATATAATATAAACTATAAAATAACAAAATACAATATAATAAAACATAATAGAATATAATATATTAAAATATAATAAAATTAAATATAATAAACTATAATATAATATAATATAATATAATATAATATAATATAATATAATATAATATAATATAATATAATATAATATATTTCCCAGAGATGGGTTGCGACTGGAAGGGCATCCGCTGCGTAAAAACTTGCTGGATAAGTTGGCAGTTCATTCCGCTGTGGCGACCCCGGATTATTAAAGGGACTAAGCCGACAAGAAAATTAATGTATGAATAATATAATATAATAACACCTCTATGAAAAAGCAAAAGGGGCTAAAAGACTGTAAAGCTCAACACAAATAGATTCGGGTCCCATTGATTATTATGGGACTGACCTTGTTTAACAAACATCAAATGTGGACTTATCCAGGAAGTACAAATAACTGCAATCCTGTAACTACAATCCGCACATGATTTATTCTTACCACTTATTGGGGTGTAACCTTTCTTCAATATGGTTATCCTTCGCGGTGCTGTCAAGGTAAAAATAATTTGACTGGCTTAGTTTCATGGGTAATTTGGCTAAAATATAAACAACAGTGCTTTCACATTTTCAACTGCTTACCTGGCTTGGGAATAAGCCCTTGAAAAGGCCTGAAAAGATAGAAAAACAGGGTCCATTTTATTTTACAAGATATAAGATCTTAGTATCCCAGTTCAAAATACCTCACTGATTATTTATTCTATCATGTGCCCTTTTATGTAAAAACAAAAACATGTTTTATGAGGGTTTCTCGAAATGTGATGCTGCTCTCTGCCCCCTTTCTTTACAGATTGTGCCTCTTATACTCTTAACAACAAACCAAACATTTGGATGTATTTCAAAACATGGCTAGTTTAAACTCCTGATATAAGTTTTTTCTAATTGAACAGACTCTAAGGTGGTACACCATGTGAGTATTACGTTTTCCATTACATCATATGTCTGTTAATGTAAACAAGTAGATAAGAAATCACACTATATTTTGGCCATGACAACAATAGCCTACTAACACAACTCCAAGAGCATACCTGTCAACCCCTGTGTTTTTCCCGGAATTCTTCTGTATTTTAAAATTCTATCCCGCTTTCATCCCGTAAAGGTATTTTTCTGTTTTTCTCCCATATTTTCAATCTTTCTATGAAGGGTGGCAATAAAGAGTCGATCCATATGCAATCCATACCGCCAAACCACCAGGGGACACCCCTTAAATCTGAGACCTCATAAATATGAATCTGTTCTATGCTTTCGTTTTGTTTAGTAATGAAAGTACTTTTAAATAAATATAGAAACGGAGGGATTTCCTTCCTTTCCATTACAGGCGCCGTTGCCCTTCCTATGCAATCCTCAGAACAGTCAGTTCATGTAGCAGTGCGTGACTGTCAGCTGACGACCTGCATAGTGATAAGTATACACTGTTTCCCAATTGGATTCTTTACACACGATTTGAGGCGAAACAAAAGTCTGGGTTTCGGGTAAATGTTTTATTGATTTGAACAGACATATATATACACATAATTAATAATAATAATAATAATAATAATAATAATATCTAAAGATGTCGAATTTGGTGGGTTTTCTTTCAAACACAATTAATTTTGACTTAAAAGCAATTTAGAAAAGGTTAGAAAAGCAATTGAATGCTTTCATTATAATTTTAGATGTGTGCATTTTTATATTGACAGCTCTGTTATTTAATGCAATCAATCGAAAAATCTAATCGAGAGATTCATTTGCTGCTCTTTAATCAAAATGTTCAAGTTATACAGAGAAGAAAAGATTAATGAGATTTGATATCGTAATTCTATTTCTTTATAATAGCTATTAGTTTTAATTGTTAAAACTGTTTGCTAATTTATTTGCTGCTTTTTATAATGTATACTATTTACTCTATCCTTTGTACACATATTACAGACCGTTTAACTGTGTATTTACAACGAAACAGCTCCAGATGAACATATTTAGTTATTTTAATATAATATTTAATAAATTATTAATTTGGGGATGTTTTGGGGTGGGAGGGGAAGAGCCCTTATTTTCACATCCCAATGTTGACAGATATGTCCTAGAGAGTGGTAATTCTGACAGACAAAATTTGATTTAATGACTAAACTGCAATTTGATTTGTCATACTTTAGCCTTCTGCGTGGATTTTTCTGCATAGTTTTAGTCAACTAAATGTAATAAGATTTTAGTAGATTTTAGTTAACTATGTTTATATAATAACTTATATTTGATTGTAACTTTAACTTAATTTGATTGTAATGTAATAATGTGCACCTTTTGTAAAGCTGCTTTGAAAATATAATTCTTCTAAAAAGCGCTATACAAATACACTTGAATTGAATTGAATATGCTAAATCTACTCTGAAGTTAGTTGGCTAAAATCAAACCAGTTTAGTTTAATCATAATATATTAATGTTATGAAAAATATCAAATAAAAAGTTTTCTAAGCCTGTTATTTACTCTTGGAAAACACACTCATGAACATGAACAATGTTAAGGTTTGAACAATATGCAGGCCCAGATTTAACAGCTGTTAACAGCTAAACATTAAGCCTTAAAAACACCTCATAAAAACCACCTTATAAAACAATATAGTCTTTTCTTTTTTACATTCTTGTTTTTGTTGAAAGATTCTATTTTTTCGAAGAAATTTTGTTTGATATCATTTTTATCTGAATTTTTTTGATGGCGAATTACTGAACAAAAGGTTGAAACAATGTTTGGAGTACTTTTGAAGTAGACTTTTAAACCTTTTTCCATGCTTAAAAAGCAACATTATGCACTGATGTAGGATAGTGGCTGAAAAATATAATAGAAACAGTTTAAATGAACTTTAATATACAGCGGGGAAAATAAGTATTGAACACGTCATATTTATTTTCCTTGGAATAATATTTCTAAAGGAGCTGTTAAGATGGAATTGAAACCGATTTTGGTAAAAAACCCAAACAATACAAACATAAAATATTTATATTATTTTTAAATCTGAAAAATTTGTTATGTGTAATAATAATGAAATGACCAAGGAGAAAGTACTGAACTACTAAAACGTATTTAATACTTTTTATAAAAGGCTTAAAGATATCTCTCATATGAAGAATGAAGACGCATGAATTGCTCAGGTGTGTGTTTTTTACAGACTTCAACAGAGTGTTAAAATCTTGATGGTTGTTTGTCTTGTCTATCAAATCTGACCTTTAATTTGTATTTTCTATTGGATTCATATCAGGTGATTGGCTGGGCCATTCTACAGCTTGATTTTAGTTCTCTGAAAGCATTTGAGAGTTTCATTGGCTGTGTTTTGGATCATTGTCTTGCTGAAATGTCCACCCTGGTTTCATTTCCATCTTCCTGGTATGGTAGATGTTGGACTGAAGAAGCTAATATTAATTTACAATGACGAAGGGCAGAGGGTTGTTGAACAACTACTGAGAGATTACAGCTGCTGTCTGGTCTTTCACTGCCTTTCCACACCTCCCTTTCTTCATGTGTTCAATTCTTTTTCCCTTCTATCAATTAATTTTATTACGCATAACTTAATTTGTAAACTAATTAGTTTTGTTTTCTTTGCAAATATGCATTTCTTTGGTTGTTACCAACATCCAGGGAAAAATTCAAGTCAACTGCACTTTAAGAAATATGTTTTCTGAGAAAAAAGGAGATGTGTTTAATACTTATTTTCCCCGCTGCCCTACACAAACTAATCAAAGTGCACTTTTTTCTTAACTCAAAAAGCTTTAAAAGTTGAAAAGCTCTTTAAAACCAGGGCTTCACCTTGTGATGCTGAAAGAGATCTTGTCTGCCACCGCTAATATCCTCTCTAGATTCTGTGAGCCGAAGGTACAGGGTTTTCGGAAAGGGATGCCAGGGGGCAGGCCCTCGATAATCACCGAGCCAGGGTTACTCTTGATCCTCTTGTAAGGCACTTGCACAGGATACTTAATGCCCAGTGCCTCGCCGTATTTCCTGTTGAACAGGTCTTGGACTTGCTCTCGTAGTGTGTTCGCCAAGTCGATACGGGAGAGCTTGGCCTCTAAACTGTCTGTGGGCAGAACAACGATAGAATAGCCAATGCTTTAGTCAAAGCATATTTGGAAATGCAAAGGAGCGAATGAAGGTTTGAACCGGCAACTGATCGACAGATGCGTGGCACATGGATTAGCTGAATTGTTCCTTTTAGTCAGGATGCAATAAAGTGACAAATGAACACCTGATAACTTAATCACAGTTGATACCTGAGAATCCAGGTCTTTTGGAGGCAGGCCCTGGGTCATCTGATTGGTCTTTGGAGTCAGTCTCTGCTGAGCATTTAATCAAAAGAAGCATTATGTTAGATTAGTGGGTGATATATTTGGCTGAAACAGAAGGTATATGAATATACAATGAATAGTAAAAAAATGACTGACAATGAAATAAAAATATACTGGAAACAATGGAGAAAAAAAAGTTTGTTTACATGAAAAATAAAATAAAATAAAACAAAATAAAACAAAACAAAATGGTTAGTTTACCTGGGCTGCAAAGTAAAAAAAAAAAAAATAATAAATAAAATAAATAAATATATATATATATATATATATATATATATATATATATATATATATATATATATATATATATATATATATATATAATAATATTGCAAAATAAAATAAAATCGGTGTTTACCTGGACTTCAAAACAAAATTAAATAAATTAAAAATAAATAAAATTATATAGCAAAATAAAGAAAAATTATATTAAAAAATGAAATAAAATAAAACGGTGGTTTACCCGGACTGAAAAAAAAAAAGGAAAAAAAAAATTTATATTAATAAAAATAAAAATAAACTTAATAAATAAAAATATATTATAAAAAACATAATTAAATTATATTGCAAAATAAAATAAAATAAAATGGCTAGTTTACCTGGACTGCAAAATAAATAAAATAAAGTAAAATGAAATAAAATAAAGTGGACAGCAAAAATAAATAAATAAATAAAATAAAAAAAATTTTGTTAAGGTGGACTACAAAATTAAATCAAATTAAATAACATTAAATGAAATAAAATTAAAAATGGTTAGTTTAGGTGGACTGCAAAATAAAATAAAGTGGATTGCATAAAATGAAATAAAATAAAGTAAATAATATTTAGTTAAGGTGAAAATGAAATAAAATAAATTAAAATAAAAAAAATGGTTAGTTTAGGTCTAGGATGGCCAACCCTGTTCCTGGAGAGCCACCTTCCTGCACATTTCAGTTGCAACCCATATCAAACACACCTGCCTGTAATTATCACATGGTGTTCAGGTCCTAATTAATTGGTTCAGGTGTGTTTGACATGGGTAGCAACTGAAATCTGCAGGAAGGTGGCTCTCCAGGAACAGGTTTGGCCACCCCTAGTTTAGGTGGACTACAAAATAAAATAAAATTAAATATAATAAATAAAATAGAATAAAATAAAAAGGTTAGTTTTCTTGAACTGCCGAATAAAATAAAATAAAATAAATTATAGTAAACAAATTAAATAAACATACAAAAGAAAATGAAACGTTTGTTTACCTGATTCAGAGGTCGTCTTAGAGACACTTTCACTTTTGACCGGTTCCGTCAACAATTCTGGCCTGACAAAAAAAAAAAAAAACCCACATTGTTATCAAGCTGATTCTTAAAACGTTATAATGAATTTGTAAATATCTGAGCGAACTTGTTGGAACATCTGAATGTGCTCTGTATGAGTTTACCTCGTTATAACAAAAGTAATCTGACTGCTGGCAGAAAGAATTTTTCTGAGTTTAGCTGCTCCAAAACAGTTTGGCCTTCGAAAAGTCATGCCTTCAGGCAGCCCCGTGACGTACAGGTCATCTGGATACATCTGAAACTTGGAGTACGGCACCTTAGCTGGTTCAGGCAGACCAAGAGCCTCACCTAGAATAATATTGAAACATAATCTAACTCGACAAGACAAAATATTTTGGGATATATTTAACACAAAAGAGTTTGATGAGTTGAATAAATGCAACTAGGAGAATTAATTATCAGTAAGCCCCTCCCCTCGAACTCTTATGAGCCAATGGCAGAGTATAGTTTTCTTTTTCTGTCGGCCAAAGTACACAATGTGACTAAAGAACGGTCAAGCTTTGAATATTACAATTATTGAAACTCTTTTTAGAAGTTAATCCGATTCAATGATCAATGCTAAGCTAAGCTAAAACATGGTTTCTGCAGGTTTAAGACCCTTTTAAGACCAAGTTCTATTGACATGGTGTTGAAATGTTGGCCCGAATGGGTAGATTTTTATGGACAAAGAAAAATTAAGACCTGTTTACAATTATTTAAGACCTACAAGAAGATATTTTTGAAATGTAAGACTTTTTAAGACCCCACGAACGAATTCAAAAATGGTAAAACTCAGCTAATTTAACTGTAAGGACCTGTAAAATTAGCATATTTTCAAAAAAGCGGAAAAGGCATTCCTTCAAGCAGCTAAAATAAAATAAAAAGGTTAGTTTAGCTGCACTGCCAAATGAAATAAAATAAATACAATTCACAATAAACAAACAAAAGAAAAAATGAAGTTAAATTAGATAAAATAAAGGTGAGTTTACCTGGACTTATATAATTGAATTAAAAGTAAACTAAATAATCTAAAAGTAAACAAATAGAGATGCTAATGGTCTATTCCGATTCAATGATTTATGCTAAGCTAAGCTAAAAGTGCTCCCGCCAGATCAGGAGATCAGCTGAATGGATTAAAAAATGGTAAAACTCAAAATGTACCTTTAAGCTGCTAAAATAAAATGAAATAAAGTAAAAATATAAAAAGGTTAGTTTACCTGCACTGCCAAATAAAATAAAATAAAATAAATACATTTAAAATAAACAAATAAAATAAAATAAAAATATGAGTTTAACTTGACTGCTAGATGGATTAATACAAATAAAATTAAAAGTAAACTAATGGAGATGCTAATGGTCTAATCCGATTTAATGATCTATGCTAAGCTAAGCTAAAAGTGCTTCCGCCAGACCAGGGGCCTCATGTATCAACGCTGCGTACGCACAAAAACTTTGCGTACGCCAGGTTTCACGCTCAGAATCGATCACGTTTGGATTTACTAACGATGAACTGAACGTGGGAATGTGCGCAGCTCCACGCCAGCTTTATGGCTGGCGTACGCACATTTTTTGTGCGTGTCTGTTTTATTTCCATTGGCGACTCCTAGAGGCAGTTGTGTTAAATTGCTCTCTACAAAGTGTCTGAGCCTTGCAATGGCAGCTGTATGAGACGGGTTCCTCTAGCAGATATATAAGGTTTCCATACCATACAGTTGACCAGCTAAACATTAAAGCGCAATTTGTAGCGGTCGCCTGTTTTCCCAATGTAATCTGAGCTATCTACTGCTCGCACATTGCTATAAAGACACTATCTGAAGATGAATTTGCATGCGTGAATCAGAAACATTTCCATTCAATAAATGTGCAAATAAAATATGATGCACAAACTTATTAATGATTCCTACTTGTCTTTCTCTTGATAAATAGTTGGCAAAATCTGATATGTAGCGGGGGAATAAAGAAAAAAGAGTTCATCAGACGCTGGATTCGAAACGAGTTCATGCTCGAACGTATCAAAACATGTTGACCTGCGTCTTACGAGCTGCGCCACTGAGACTGTTACGGATACTGCAACATTTTACACCTATAAATCACACCATTTCTTTTTTAATTCACTCTGTGCGATGTTCAGACCCAACTGTGTTAACCGCATCAGCTAAACTTTCCCACTCTATTTTTTTCTTTTGTTGTTAATTCCGAAGAAACAAACTTGCAAATAACAACGCTTTTCTCCAATCTACCTCCGAAAGCAGCACCTCCAATTCACATTCTGTTCAAAGTTTCTCTTTTTGCTTGATTTTGTCATTGCTTTTTCGCTGAGTTTTGCCAAAGTATAGTCATTAGCATATTCATACAGGGGAGGAGGCAGGGAGGGGTTTTGTGCTCGTGCATGTTGCGCTCAGTTTCACGTTCATTCAGATGTGCAAAAGATTATGCGTTAGATTTGGCGTACACAGTGTTTCATACATCTGAATTTTTTTCTGCATACGCACATTTACAACTTTGTGCGTACGCAATGTTTTAGTATGATTTCCACGCAAGTCTTTGTACATGAGGCCCCAGGAGATCAGTTGAATAGATTCAGAAATGGTAAAACTCAACTGTAAAACTTTAGGCTACTGATAAAATAAATCTAATTCCAAAAAAACGGATCGTTCCTTTAAGCTGCTTTGATACAATATAAATTTTAAAAGTGCTATAGAAACTTTTACAACGACTTTAGAATAAATGGGGACAGGAAGTTCCCGATACATCATTTACAGGTTGACTTTGCAGTTAATTGTAAGTAATAAGATAAGTAAGTCAATGACTCACTGTACTTGCAGCTGAACAGGCTCTCGACTTGCTTTCGCAGCTGAAGGATCATCTCTCCGATGTCTTCTGGGGAAAAGGGAGAACAATCACACCGACAGCCCATAATATCTGAAGGCAAACCTCGGTGACCTTTTAAAATGGAGTTTTACCTTCAACAGCTCTCTTGAGCCCTTGCGGTGTAGATTTCGGTGTTAAATCTTCTGTTGAGATAAACATGCAATAAAATGAGTGCAAGTGAAATATTCCTGCGTCAAAATCTTGTGATTTCTGCACACTTTACCGGAGGTGTTTTGATGATTGAACTCACCTGAGCTTTACTCCAGTGACCATGTGTGTAATGCAAACTTCAACATAACAAATCCAGTGTTATTAGTAATGAGTCATAATGTTTAATCTGTGAGTTACTATGAACGCTTCAACAACATCTGCTTTCTGAAGCTGACAAATCCTTTTTAAAAGGGCAGATGTAAGTAAATAGGGTTGTTTTTTTGTTGCATGTATCTTGCAATCAAAGGCTAATAAATATTGCATAAGGTCAGTAAAATATGTATACACAATGAGGTAAGAACAGTTTATATGCGTATTATATAGCAATTATGTATTTTCCTTCGGTTTGGTCCCTTTATTCATCAGAGGTCGCCACAGCAGAATGAACCACCAACTTATCCAGCATATGTTTTACACAGTGGATGCCCTTCCAGCCGCAACCCAGTATTGGGAAACACCCATACAGTCTCACATTTACACAGATACACTACGGCCAATTTAGTTTATTCAATTCACCCTGAGGAAACCCTCACAAACCAATCAAGGCTCATTCTGAAAACGTAGTCCCGTGGACGTTTCTGGAGGCCGCGAAATACGTCCCGGGAGGTACGTATTTTTGCAGTTTTTGTTTTCGCGAATTCGCGAGAGGCTGCTGTGTGCACTTTTTCGTATCTCAAACATCTCTCGCGAGTGCCGTTCGCGCCCACGCTGTTCTCGCTTCAACCCACCAGAGGCTGCTGTCTGATTGACCGAATGATTGACTGCGCGACCGGCCAATCGGCTGACCCGCCCTCCTTCTTCCCTACACCCAACCAGTTTTACCGATTGACCAGCCCGCCTGCTCACTTCCCTAAAACCGAGCAACAATTTAGAAAAGCAGTCTAGATAAAGAAAAGCCCTCGTCTGGTTTTTTCACCATGTTTTCGGATTTCACCACGTTCTCACCCTGTTATGAACTCGTTCACTTTATTTTTTGGATTCTGTTTTTATCTTACCTGATTTCTGGAACCGCTCTTCCCCGGACTCGAACCCAGTCGCCGTGGTCAACTCCTCCTCTCTGCATCTGAAGTCTGCCGACGCACACAATGAGCTGACCGGACAAACTGATTGCGGCGGGAAAGCCCTCCACCCGAAGGTAAGCGGTCAGTCGGTAAGCGCGAAAGGGAACGGCATCACACCGCCCCGTATTGTTCGCTTAAAAAAATGAAATGCAGCCGTACGTACCTCCCGGGACGTATTTTGCGGTCTCCAGAAACGTCCACGGGACTACGTTTTCAGAATGAGCTTGGGTTGTCGCAAACACAGGGAGAACATGCAAACTCCACACAGAAATGCCAACTGATCCAGCCGTATTGATTGATGTAGTATTGATTATTATTGTGTAAAATACAAATTTACATAACCAGAGATTTAATATTTCTAAATATACTACTGTTCCCAGGTTTGCTGTCAGTCAGTTAGTTTAATTATTCTATTTATTTTATCAGTAAAATATGAATACATAAAAATATAAAAACACCAACATACATATTCTAGCAGATATAAACTATTGATTATTATTGTTATATAGTATATTAGTTTATAAAATAAATAAATAATTAGAAAAAAATAGTAATTATAATATTGTTCAGAGGTTTAGCATTATTCATTCATTCTCTTTTTGGCTTGGTCCCTTTATTAATCTGGGGTAGAATCGCTAATCTATCCAGCATACAGTATGTTTTAAGCAGCGGATGCCCTTCCAGCTGCAACCCATCACTAGGAAACATACATACACACTCATTCACACATATACACTACGGACAATTTAGCTTACCCAACTCACCTATGTGAAAACCGGAGCACCCGGTGGAAACCCACGCAATTACAGGGAGAACATGCAAACTCCACACAGAAATGCCAACTGACCAAGCTGAGGCTCGAACCAGCGACCTTCTTGCTGTGAAGCAATCATGCTACCCACTGCGCCACCATGACACCTGGTTCAGCATTAGTCAGAGTTTATATTTTATTATTAGTCTCTTCTGCTCACCAAGATCATGTAAAATCACATTATCCTTCAGAAATCAGTATATTAAAGCTGAATAATTTCTTGATTATGAACATTGATTACAATTATGAGGGTTAATATTATTGCAGCTTAATCATCTTTGATGATCAGGGAAGTAAACTAAATCAACTATACTTCTTAACATTTTACATTTGTAATCATAAAAATATTTGTTTAGAAATTATTCCTAAAATATTAAACACCATAAATGAAAGTTTTGATCAATGTAATGTTTTTTGACCGATTGTTTTAGAACAGGGGTGTCAAACTCAATTCCTGGAGGGCCGAAGCCCTGCACAGTTTAGTTTAACCCTGCTCCAACACACTTACCTGTAGGTTTCAAACAAGCCTGAAGGACTCAATTAGTTTGATCAGGTGTGTTTAATAAGGGTTGGAACTAAACTGTGCAGAGCTGCGACCCTTTTTGAACTGAGTTTGACACCTGTGTTTTAGAACCTCCGATTGAGTTTCCTATAAGAGAAATGACTAGAAATAATAAACGGCAAAAAAATGGTCAAACTACTTGCTCTACAAACAAGTGTTTGCATGATTATACATAAAAAAGTATATTATATGTAACTGTCAGTTTAAAAAACATTGCATATTTTCTACATAGCATTCATTTCTTAATGAACAAAAACAAGAATTAATAATAAAAAAAACTTACTGACTCCAAACTTGAGAACATTTTAAAATTTTTATCTAACATTTTGGACTTTTTCCAGTCATTCGTGATTAGGGAATATTTTCCAAAATAATTTTGATTGCTAATAAATTACTAATTTGCTAATAAATTATTCAGACCAAACTCGCATAATATTCAACCAATTCAAAGAACTGATTTTTTTTTGTGATCAAATTTTTATTGATTTTACATGTGAGTGGTCACAGCATATTTACAATTTTCTTTCCAATAAACAAAACAAGATCCACTGCTCAAACCCCCCAGCCCACCCAGAAAAATACCCACCCCACCCCACACCCCAGAGAACGATTTTGGTTTAAATCTGACATCGCTGCTTATTCTACAAAAACATAAAATAAATTAATAATTTCAATATATTTGAAAGTTGTCCATATCCTGGAAAACTCTGAAATAATCATATGAGATGGTTGAGCGTTCATATCAACTCACAGTATGTCTCTATAAGATAGGGGCTCTAACACTGGGAGTCTATCAGGGAGACCTACTGGATGTGGGTCTGCTGTAGTGGGAGAACTAGCACAGCACGGGGAACAGGTTTCACGCTGGATCTGTATCGGACTTGGGCTGGGACCACTATTTGGGCAAGTCTTGGGTTTTTGGGAATGGAGATGAAATAAGAAATGCAAAACTCTTGGCTTACCATACTTCAACCTATGTTTTTATGACTTATACATTAAATGCTGCTGTTTCGATCTTCACAGAAGTTCATTTCTCCGCACAGCGCAGTGGCTAAATCAGCATTTAATATCCCTGTGTTGAGCATAAGCTCATTGAAATTAATGTCTCTACATGAAAGGACTTGACAGCTAGTTAGACAGACATGTACATGTGCATATATAACGATTATTAAACAGGCATTAATAGCTTGTAGGAGGGCAGGTACAGACCGGTGGAGGGATTTGCAACTGGATGAGAAATTGGAGAGGGTTATATTAGAGGCTTTGATTTGTCATATGCTTGGGATTATCTGTGCAGTACCACAGGGAGAAGAAAAGATGGATAAGGAAGTACGTTCGGATATAAGCTAGTTTGATGTTACCTGCGACAGGCTCCTTGGGACGACAGAGGTCAGGGGTCACTCGCTCAGCCTGAGGCTCACTGGATTCCTCTGTTGAAGCACTGGATTCTGACAGATCGGGAAAAAAGAGATAATGTGTTCAAAAAGCATTCGGTTAATGATATAATGTCATATATAACGCATTTAGGAATAATCCAATATGAGGCAAGTGGAAAAAAATCTGTTAGGCTCAACAGTGCTTTATTTATTATATCAAAAATACAGCAAAACAAATAATACTGGTTAATATTAATACAACGTATTACAAAGTATTCATTGCACTTCACTTTTTCCACATTTTTTCATGTTACAGCCTTATTCCAAAATGGAATAAATTCATTTATTTCCTCAAAAATTCTACACACAATACCCCATAATGACAATGTGAAAAAAATATTTTTTTAAATAGTTGCAAATTTATTACAAATAAAAAGCCTAAAAAAATTACATGTACATCAGTATTTACAGATTTTGCTCAATACTTAGTTGTTGCACCTTTGGCAGCAATTACAGCGTCAAGTCTTTTTGAATATGATGCCACAAGCTTGGCACAGCTGTCTTTAGGAATTTTTTGGCCATTCCTCTTTGCAGTATCACTCAAGCTCTATCAGGTTGGATGGGAAGCGAAGGTGTACTGCCATTTTCAGATCTCTCCAGAGATGTTCAATAGGATTTACATCAGGGCTCTGGCTGGGCCACTCAAGGACATTCACCGAGTTGTTGTGAAGCCACTCCATTGATATTTTGGCGATGTGCTTTGAGACATTGTCCTGCTGGACATTGCTGCTGGACATTGTCCTCAGTCTGAGGTCAAGAGCACTCTGAACCAAGTTTTTATTTAGGATGTCTCTCTACATTGCTGCATTCATCTTTCCTTCTATCCTGACTAGTCTTCCAGTTCCTGCTGCTGAAAAACATCCCCACAGCAAGATGCTGCCACCACCATGCTTCACTGTAGGGATGGTATTAGCCTGGTAATGAGCGGTGCCTGGTTTTCTCCAAACGTAACACCTGGCATTCAGTATAAAAAGTTTCATTTTAGTCACATCGGAACATCTGGCCATTCTACCATACAGGCATGATTGGTGGACTGCTGCACAGATGGTTGTCCTTCAGTAAAGTTCTCCTTTCTCCACAGAAGAACGCTGGAGCTCAGACAGAGTGACCATCAGGTTATTGATCATCTCTGTGACTAAGGCCCTTCTTCCCCAATCACTCAGCTTAGATGGCCGGCCATCTCTAGGCAGAGTCCTGGTGGTTCCAAACATCTTCAACTTACTGATGATGGAGGCCACTGTTCTCATTGGAACTTTCAGAGCAGCAGAAATTTTTCTGTACCTTCCCCGGCCTTGTGCCTCGAGACAATCCTGTCTCGGAGGTCTACAGACATTTCCTTTGTCTTCATGCTTGGTTTGTGCTTTGACATGCACTGTCAACCCTGGGACCTTATATAGACAGGTGTATGCCTTTTCAAATCATGTGCAATCAACTGGATTTACCACAGGTGAACTCCAATTAAGCTGCTGAAACATCTCAAGAATGATCAGTGGAAACAGAATGTACCTGAGCTTAATTTAGAGCTTCACTGCAAAGGCTGTGAATACTGATTTACATATGATTTTTCAGGTTTTTTATTTTTAATAAATTTGCAATTATTTAAATAAATCGTTTTTCACATTGTCATTATGGGGTATTGTGTGTAGAATTTTGAGAAAATAAATAAATGTGCTGTAAGTCACGTAAAACAATTCAATGCAAACTGAAATAAATATAATTTGATTATATGGCTTGGAATTTTATGTTTTGATGAGATTATTCAAATTTTTTTGCCAATTATTTTGCGTTTAATTAAGAATTTAGCACGTTCGTAAAAATTTGCGTCATTTTGTTGATTTTGCGTTGGATTCAGCAATCGCGAAATCACGAAAAACTAGGGGGTCTGTACTGGGATCGACGACAAGACTTTTGTCAGGTAGTACATGTAGAAGCAGGGGACCAGGCCATATCCTGAGCTGCTGCTGCGCTGATGGTCGTGGGGAGTGGAGAACATGAGTCTGATTTCAGCGACGCTCCAGGGACAGACGAGTCTTCGCTGAGGCCATCTTCCAGCCTCCACCACAGCGACTGAAGCTCTGCACAAGACTTTTGGCCAGCGGAGAAATTAAAATGGTCGTGCCCAACTGAGTCTGGTTCCCTCAAGGTTTTTTTTTTTTTCACTCCCATCAGGTGAAGTTTTTTTTTCCCTCTCCGCTGTCGCCACTGCCTCGCATGGTTCAGGATTGGTAGAGCTACGCATCGATGAATTTGCTCTTCAGTGTTTGAACTTGTAATGATTAAATAACACTGAACTGAGCTAAACTGAACTGAACTGAACTTAAACACTGAACTACACTGTTCCAGTTACTATGACCATTTATGTGAAGCTGCTTTGACACAATCTACATTGTAAAAGCGCTATACAAATAAAGCTGAATTGAATTGAATAGAAGCATAGTTCCACAAAAATGTAGGCTAAAGCACATATTTACAATGAACTCTATAGGTCTCATTTACTTAAAGTACTTACTGAACTAAAGGCAAAGTGGAAGTTAAAAGTCACATTCGCCCACAATTATGTTTTTCTATGCTGTTTATACAGCACTTAAACTCCAATTTACAGTTCATAGGCATGATGTTCCTTCAGTTCACGGTGTTTAGCCAATGAATGTGCCATGTAATGCAAAATGCCCTGCCTGTCCTCAAAGGCTCAGATCACTGCACAGCAGGGTGGAAAATGAGAGCAAATATTTTTAAATCAGAAGGCAACCATCAAAGACAAACTTCCTCTCTCTAAGTAAGTAAAATATGCTAATGGTATCCCATCCAGTAGAGCTACAGGGAGTTCATGCTGCTATGTGATTTACATTTCGGCAGAGATGATTGTTATTAACAAACAATAGCACCAAAAAGAGAACAAAACTTGAGGTGGCAGAGCGAAATATGAAAACTAACAGCGTGTAAGACTGGGAGAACATACCTGGCACCGTCACCTGGATAATTTCACCATCTGGGGGTTCTGTTTTGATCTTTTTCAAAGGCAGGCAGTCCCCAGATGGCCCTGAAAAAATAAAACACATTGGGTTATTTTGCATCTTGCACTATTAGAGCCATGCAACGACATGGCAGAGCACATTAAAATGATGAGCAGATGATCTACCTGCTTCACACTCGGCCAAAGGACTGACACAGGAGCTGGTTGATCTGAAAAAAAAAATATTTCAAATTAAAATTAATAATTAGCATAAACATTTCCTACAGTATTTGACATACAGATGCAACATTCTTATATATATATATTTATATATATATATATTTATGTATAAGTGTTTGGAATTACTATACATTATCTTGTGTGAGTGTGTGTGTGCACCTTGTATTCTTCACAATGTGGGGACCAAATGTCTACAAGTATACTGTAGGAATACCAGCAAATTTTGACTTTTGACCTTGTGGAGACAGTTGTTTGGTTCCCATTAGGAAAATAGCTCATAAATTGCTTAGAACAAAGTATTTTAAATACGTTTAAACATAGATTGTTTCCTGTGAGGCTTGGGTTTAGTGGTAGTGGAATAAAATATACAGTTGGTACAGTATAAAAATCCTTACGTCTTTGGGATGTCCCCAAAAAGATAGCTGTACTTGTGTCTTTTGTGTGTTGTGTCTGTGTTGTGTGTCTGTTGTGTGTGTGTGTGTGTGTGAGTAAAACTATTTTAATTTGTCAATAATTTATAGTTGTCTTAAAAAAGATTTAAAATGAAACAGTTAATTGTGCTTTTTAATATTGCAAACTTGTATTCCTTAACATACAATTATAAGTAAGGCAAGGGAAGTTTATTTATATAGCACATTTCATACATTGGGAATTCAAAGTGCTTTACATAAACAGGGACAAGCAAAAACACAGATGTATCATATTTTCTCTTTTTACTCTGGGACTTCCCCATTCTGGTGATCACCTCCCCTTCTTCTGTTTCATTAGATGTTATAGGAAATAAAGGGAAGTCTTGCACATACACTAAGAAACAGGAAACTTCGCTACCAGTAACACTATAGTTTAGGTCACAATTCGTGTTACTGGCTTATTACCTGCCTATTTTTAAGATATTGACAGTTCATTAACAGCTAGGTTTAGTAGGTTATTAAGCTTGTAGTGTTAGTTAATGGTTTGTTATATACCGTTTGTTAAATACTGTTGATAAAGTGCTACAAAGCTACCTTATAGACGAATTACAGTTTGGTAAACACGTAGGATGCGCGCACAACAAGGTTGCAGAAAAAAACCAGGAGCACTATCATTTACAGCAAGCGAATGACATCCGATGCGGTACAGAGTTTGTTGTTGTATTAGAGATAAGTTATATTGACTATGTATTATATATATTATTTACATCATGCTTTCAGCATATATTAACAGCTTGTTACCCAGTTATTCTACAAAATTAACGTCAAAGTGAGCAGTATTTGTCTGACAGGTCCATTTGCAATAGAACCCTTCCAGTCGATATTTGATAAGACTAAATGGCCAAGCATCCAGCCAAAAATATATTCTCATTAAAATATGAACTCATCAAATTTTAATGTGATTAATACTAAAACTATAAGTGATTTTACAAGAGAGAAGTTAAAGGCCTACAAGTCTTTGGATGCCTCAATTTTGTTTTGCGAGGTCATGTGCAAAATATAATGTTCCATGATTACCTGATTCAAAACTATGTAGTGCTAAAAAACGAGGTTCTGCCTAGCCAAAGACAAGGAAAGAAGACGGAACTGTATAAGACCTGGGTAATCATCAGCATTTTCGAGCAGAGTCGAGCATTTTTAATTAGATCCTCAATCCATTCAGCTCTTATGATGGCTGTTAGCCAAAGACGTCTGCGGTTGGCATTAAAAGTGGTGTACGGTAAAATTTAAGTTTTCCTCTCCTCTTTTTCCTCGATTTTGGCATCCTACCGCACAACACGACATGTTTGCTATTGTAACCGCTCTTTTTTTGCAACCGGTATGCGCGGTTGAGCCCGTGTGACGTCATGTGTGACGTAGGTTGGTAATTCCCCTATAAAATAATGATTTTGTGCTTCTGCTGTAATGGGGAAGGTAAACTGGTACCTGCTGCTGTGAGTGTTGCTGACCAGCTCTAAAGAAGAGCTTGGGATCCTGAGGCCTTCTGGAAAACCATCCTCAGAGGCAGGTCCATCCTGTTTGCCCTCCTCCTTTGCGACTTTACCAGCAGCTTACAAAAACATGAACCAAGTACATTATCAAATTAAGCCACGTGCTAAAGTTATTTAAGACAAATATTTGAATTATTATAAGACCAAATTTATATATGTTGTACATTCTTAAATCACATATATTATATGAGATTATATGAGATAGTGGTGTATGATATTGACACAAAATGGGGTCCTACTATTTCAGTTATTTCTTTTTAAAGAGCCCATATTATACATGAAATAGGGTCATATCCTGGTTGTAAGGGTCTCCAACAACAGTCTAATATGCATGCAAGGTCAAAAAACACTTTCATGGTCTTATAATCTGCATTTATTTTTACCTAATTATCCCAGCGACTCCTGTATGAATCGTCCAGTGATTCATTTGTTCCCAAACCCCTCCTTAGCGCGGAGCTAATCTGCGCTGATTGGACCGATGACAGTCTGTCGCGATTGGTCGACTGCCTTCAGTCAGAGAGGGAAATGGCCAATAGCTAATCAGCAATTTAAAAAGTAATCACAGTTCATACACGCTCGATAGTGTAGACGTGGATTTTAGCTGCCACACTATGGCGAGTGGATAGTGCCACGGATAACCGAACGAAGGAGACAGTCGTGTACTGGCCATACCACACACACACAAAAACACACACACACCTCCGGATGACAACGCTCCCGCTTCCGCCCGCACCCGCCAGGTTTTAGCCTGAGAACCCGCTCCGTTTTCTGCCCGCCGCGCCCGGTCCCGCTAGAGCGGAGAACACAACCAAAAATCACCCAGTATACAGTCCAGACAGCCAAGCTGTCGTTCGTTCGTTCGCTCTCTCTCTCTCTCTCTCTCTCTCATACGCGCGCGTGCGCACTAACACACACACAAGCACCACGCAGACTCTCTCTTTCTAATTCGCATAGCAATATCCGTGATATTGCTAGACAGCCCGCTCCCGTCCCAAATTAAACCCGTTACCGACCGCTCCCGCGATTTATTCGGAAATTTATTCCCGCGGCTGTCCCCGCGCCAGATTTCTGCGGCGCGGGAATAAATTTCCGAATAAATCGCGGGAGCAGAACTCTAGCACGGAGCTCCATAAACAAACAGCACGCGTCGCGTTTTTAACGTGACTTTGCACGCGATAAGATAAAATATCCAGTTAACCTGATACAGTACACGCGGTTACAAGTAACAAATCACAACTAAATACATTTGCAAGCTAGAGTCAACGAGGCAACAACTTTAACCGCACGTACTTACACTTGAGAAATGGAAGAAACCCATCCTGATGTCCATCAGTAAGTTACTGATCCTTCCTTTAACAAACGCAGATGAAGTATTCTTTGTAGCATGTAGCTTCCAGAAGTTTCCAGTAGTTTCCAACTGCTTGGCTATAATGCTGAGGTTTCATCTTTGGGTAGAGACTCAATATATCCATCTGCAATGTGACTTCAATCGACCGGCATGTTTGTGTGCGTGTGTTTGTGGGTGTGCGTGTGTTTGTGGGTGTGTGTGTGTCTGGGTTACTGCGTCAGAGGGCGGGGCCTCAGGTTTGAAATCTCCCGGGTTTGCGCGTGCACGTGAAAAACTTTGTTTCGTTCGTACGTCATGGCGAAACACCTAATGAGTCGGTATCAAGGCGACTCGTTTGAAGCACTATGAATCGACTCTTTTATAGATGAATCAACAGTTTTAAACACTGTATTCTTACAGATTTAAGCCTTAGCTGGATACTTCACTTCACTTAGAGCTGTGTTACACACTACATGGAGGGGAATTTTCAAAAACCCATAATATGGGCTCTTTAATAACTATAGATGTTATGTTTAATACTTTTATTTTATTTTACTTTTGTACTGGTAGTTTGTCTGGTGTGAGTCTTGTCACAGATAAATAAATTTGACACTATAACCATGAGTATGTGGGAGGGAAGCTGCTAACTTGAGTAATTTACGTAATCGTTCATTCAAGTGATTCAGTCAAATCCCTTTTTCATCAGGAGTCGCCAAAGCGGAACGAACCACCAACTTTTCCAGCATATGTTTTACGCAGCGGATGCCCTTCCAGCTGCAACCCAACACTGGGAAACAAACACTCTTGCATTCACTCGCACTCATACACTGGGACCAACTTAGTTTACACAGAAATGCCAACTGTCCCAGCCAGGACTCAAACTAGCGACATTCTTGCTGTGAGTCACTGTGCTGCCTCAGAACGGATTTATATAGGAATAAAATAACGCAGTGTTGTTCATGCACAAACGTCCTGGTTCAGCTTTGTTTGGTACCATTTTAATATTTTCAAAAATTTCCAGTCAGTATTGATTCTAAAAATGTGACTTACTGTTAACGTCTTTTAATGTCTTGTTTAAATGTGGTATAAATTTGATATCATGATTGTGCTTACACACTGACATTCAGGAAAACAGCATCTCATAAACACAAAATCCATAATTTAATATAATAAAATAAACTATAACAACTATAATAAAATATTATATAATAATAACCTAAAATAAAACAATATAACCTAAGCGGGAATATTTTTGCCACTCTGAATTCACTCTTGAAATCGTGTGATCAATTTTTTTGACAAGATAATGACAGCTCGCAGTAACATTGTTAAATAAGTAAATAATAATATTAGTAATATCATAAATAATTATATTATTGTGAGTGATAAAAACATTGCACATTCCTAGGCAGAAATAGCTCTTTAACAACAAAATCCAATGTTAAATAAATAATAATAGTATTAGTAATATAGTAAATAATAATATCATTGTACAAAAAAAAAATAACAAGATAACATTTTTGTATACTGTACATTTTTTTGTTGAATCAAATACATTTTAATACACTTCAACTTACATAAATTAAACAAACTAAAAATATTAAGTTAAACTTAACTGAAACATGATTCATTTATTTAAATAATTTAAAGCAAAATAAAAAATATTTGTTGTCTTGACTTTGTCATTAATTTTTTTCAACCCAGGCTCATTGTGGATACATTCCCAGGTCTACATTTCTGGGGACAGCAAAATACGTAACTGGTGCGTACAGTCGCAGTTTTTGTTTTTTGCAAATCCACCAGAGGTCGCTGTGTGTGCTTTTTGATGATCACAAATTACTCTCGCGCATCCTCTTCTTGCGTATATCCACCAGAGGGCGCAATATATACTACAGCTGACCAGGCCAGCTTGCTGTTGACAGAATGACTGACCGACTGTTCCACCCCCTTTACCTAAACCCAACCAATAGTGTTTTTAAAAGCAATCTAGAAAAGGGAAAGCCATCGCAGACATGTGATTTCACCACATTTTCAGCCTGTTGCTTATTTATTTATTTATTAGTTTATTTTTTGCTTTTATTTTACCTGGTTTCTGGAACTCTAACCCCGTTATCGAGGTCAATTCCGCTCCTTGTCCCAAGCATGCCGATGTACACGGCAAACTTGTAATAATGGAAAGCCCATTTATATGGAATTAATCTGTCAGCTGGTAGCGCTAACATGAACAGAAGCTGTCAGCAGTATCATACCACTTTATAATGTTCGTTTTAAAAATGAAATGCAGCCAGACATAGCTCTGGCTACATAATTCACGCTCTCCAGAAATGCAGACATGGATACGTATCCACAATGAGCCTGTGTTGAATTTTTTTACAGTGTAAATGATTAGCATGGCACTTTACTAAGCAGAAATGTAGGCAGTATTATGTACCGCATAATGTAATTAAAATACTATTAAATTGTGTGTTGGCCAGATGCTAAAACAGGAAAAACTTACCAGTAAAAATCCGTTCATCAAACATTCTAGAAAACAAAAACAGAAAAGTGTTAGTTCCTGTTAAGTCCACCTTAATCACATTGAAACACTGAAACGCTGTCTACACATGTCTGGTGCAAACAGCAGGAGATTTCCTCATTATGCCAAATCAGCGGCTCCACGCTGACGCTAGTATGGCAGCGGTTACCACAGCCAGCAGGAGGCCCCACTTTGGAAGCCTAGCGCTGCTCTGCCAGATGGCAAAGACGGCTAGACATTTTTTTCTTTTTTTCTGATGAAGCAAATTAAAAACTCAGTATATCTACTACCAATATCGGGGATTCATTTTGCGGTGAGCCACAGAGTTAATTACAAGTGAAAAACGAAAGGTTATCAGTAATTAAATCTCTGACATCGCCGTCATGTTGAAACTGGAAGAACTACAAATCACACCGCTGCTGTTTTAGTTTTAATAGTGCGCATGATTGAGAGAATCTGCTCGGGTCAACATTCGCTTAAATAATAGAATAAAATAAAGAATGAAAGCATGCTCGGTAGAGTCTCAAACCTTCTGACAACGAAGCGGACGGCGTGCCTTTCCTCCAGGATGCGCTTGAGTTTAGGCACACCGTAAGTGCATGGCCTCTTGAAGGGAATCTTGTCGGGAATCCCAATGATCTCCACGGCCTCAGGATCACAAGCGATCTTACGGTATGGCACAGGAACCATGTGATCCAGGCCTAATGCCTCGGCTGAAATGAACATCAGGGAAAGATGAGTTTGAGATTGACTTTCTGTGATATAAAAAACAAAATGATCACATCAAATGTCATATCTATTTTATTAAAATAATTCTCACATGCACAGAACATGGTGATGGCATATTTTATTAATTATTTTATTAAAATAGATCTCACATGCACAGAACAGTGATGGCATATGTATTTACATTATGCAAAATGTTTCAAAAAATGTTTAAATCCAGAGAAATAAGCTATTTTAACTACTGACACAGACGGCCAATTTATGATTTGGTTTTATAGAAAAAAGGAAAACACAGATTATGCTTTTATATGTTGTGTTGTACTAGACTACACAACTATTAGATAGAGCAGCATTATAACTGATCTTTAAAATGTATTTAATTTGATGAAACAATCCCTTAGGATATAATACGACAACTTCCACATTCCCCACTCAGTCACTATGGGCCCTATCATACACCCGCAGTGTGGCGCAAGGCGCGGCGCAATAGTCTTTTGCTAGTTTCAGCTTGGCGCAAGAGTGGTTTTGAGGCGTTGCGCTACGCTGTTTAAATAGCAAATGCATTTGCGCTCAGATGTGCGTTCTGGTCTAAAAAGGAAGGCGTTCTGAGGCGGACCGCTGGCGCGTTGCTATTTTGAGAAACTAAAATAGATTTTTCATAAGACCAAAACAAACCCGGTCTAAACTCCAGCGCAGAGTTGCGCCTCGCTTACGCACTGCTTAATACGCACAAGAGAGCAATAAGCAAATATCTTTACATATGAAAAAATTTAAATATTAAGGATATATATAGGATATTATAAGAATAGATATAGGATATAAATATAAAGGATTAAAATATTACAAAACATATTATTTTCTAGCCTACATAAATTTGAAAAATCACTGCTTTTATGTCTTCTTCATCTTTCAGTTCATTCATAACAATTTGCTTTTGTATAATGTTATTATTATTAGCAGTATTATTTATTATATCCATATTTATATTTGTTTTATTATAAACAAGCTTAGATTTGCCCACCTGTCAGGTTTTAGACCATATGGGGCACAGCATGTGTTTTAGGATATAATTCAGGTTTTTGACCACACTTCGTTATTATTGTTCATTTATTCGTTTGCTGGAAATTAGAACTGAATTTAAAAATATTTGCACTTAACAAACACAATTAATTATTTATAGACTAATTGATGTCTGTGCGTAAAGGTTTTCCTATCCACGAGAGCGAAAGTGAAAGTAGATCGATTATCTCTCATTCTCACGCAGTAGATGCTCTGTTTAACAGTTTTATGTTAAAAAAAACTGTTAACTGTTAACTGTTTGCTAGTGAAATGCTCAGATTTTCCACTTAGACTTACTTTACGTCCTGTAAATAGCAAATGCGCTTATGACGCGATGCAGCTGACTCTTAAAGGGAATGGGAGATGAGACTCTAATTGGTTTATTCTCAAAAACACACCTATAACTCATAAAAAAAATAAACTCAACCCTTTTAGACCATGCGCCATGGCACAAAGCGGATTTTCCCGTCCTTAAATTAGCAAAAATGCTTTCTGCCACGCCCTGAAAGCGTTTGCGCCCTGCGTTTTGCACTTTGCGCATGGACCGTCAAAATAGAGCCCTATGTCATCAAAATAACCTTTGTTTGTTGTGAATGCACGCCCTCTAGAGTCGGAAAATATATACTGTGCCTTTAATAATGCCCTGAATGTCAATGGTTAATTTAAAAAGTGGTGCCACCCCACACACTTCATTGGTTGCATCAATGTTTCTGTTCTTTACATACAAGTTTGCATTTACGGTTTCACTCTGCGACCGCTTTGCACCCACATTTGATCTCTGGTCAAGTAGGACGATGGACCCATTCTTGAGCCTTACTTTGCACCACATTGATGATGATTGGAAGCTGCGACAGAGATACCTTGAGATGGCATATTTTTAACTACAGTAAAATTCTTATTTACATTAAAATATCTGTTTACAGAAGATGCAAGAAATGCAGTGTTTAAAATATTAGTTACAAGATATACAAGAGTTCATTTACTTAGAAGAGATACTGCTTATTTTCTACTTTTAATATGAAAAACATTGAAAATTGTTTATTTTGTTTCCAAAAGTGTGTATTTTTTTCCAATTTTTTAAAAGAAAAAGCAGTGTGTATTTAATTTCAGCTGTTCACATTGATGTTCAATAAATAACCATGGATAGTAAATAGCGTGTGTTTCCTTCAGTTATTCTAAAATCAAGTAATGCACCCTTCATTCAAACATCTCTCACTTGTAATTTGTTAGCACATTTACTGTACAAAACCTGTCAGTGAACTATGAGGGCAAAAAAATAAAATCAATAAATAAAATAAACGCTCATTAATCGTAATCAAGTTAAAATGCTCAACTGATCGAGATTTTGATTTTAGGCTAAATCACCCAGCCTTCTTGTGATCTCACCATATCTGCTGTTGAACAGGATCTGAACACATTCTCGAAGGGTATTGATATCCTCCGTCTCCCTGATGAACGAATCCCATTTTTCTGTGCATTCAACACACAAACAAAACCATCATGTAACAAATTAGAAAAGCAAAAGCAACATGTCACAATCTCAACCATCATTTTGTGAAATCTCCATGTATACGTGAATTTTTTTAGACATAGGAGTCAATTAAGTCAGGTCTTGACTCTCCGCAGTGACTGAAGGTCTCACGCTGATCTTTTGAGAAGAACAGACTTCGGTAGCCCAGGTGCCCTGGCCAAACTCCCATTACTACTCTCCGGTCTGCCAAGATCAGATTCTGTATGTGTGACCCGCATGGAGCTATATCTAAACTGATACCCCTGATATAAAGATTAATCACTGGACTATTAGAGATACGAGTGATTTATTTACTAGTTATGTTATTTTCTACGGTTCATTCTGCTGTGGCGACTCCTGATAAATAAGCGACCAAGTCGAAGGAAAACAAATTAATGAATGATGTTATTTACTTGAAGAAATAGTTCAATGGGT